AAAGAACCTCAAAGAAAGGTATCTATATAGGATTTATGCTCTATATAACTCTATATAACTCTATATAACTCTATATAACTCTATATAACTCTATATAACTCTATATAACTCTATATAACTCTATATAACTCTATATAACTCTATATAACTCTATATAACTCTATATAACTCTATATAACTCTATATAACTCTATATAACTCTATATAACTCTATATAACTCTATATAACTCTATATAACTCTATATAACTCTATATAACTCTATATAACTCTATATAACTCTATATAACTCTATATAACTCTATATAACTCTATATAACTCTATATAACTCTATATAACTCTATATAACTCTATATAACTCTATATAACTCTATATAACTCTATATAACTCTATATAACTCTATATAACTCTATATAACTCTATATAACTCTATATAACTCTATATAACTCTATATAACTCTATATAACTCTATATAACTCTATATAACCGCGCAAACTCTATATAACCGCGCAAACTCTATATAACCGCGCAAACTCTATATAACTCTATATAACCGCGCAAACTCTATATAACCATGCAAACTACCACATTCAATCAATAAAAATCCCACTAAAACCAGGATCCACCGCGTACCTGTTATGTGTATGGTGTGAAACAAAACAAAAAAAAACACAAAACGAAAAACACACCGCCAAGTAAGAGTAAAAGAATAGAAGTCTCTAACCTACCTATGTAACTAAATTACCTTATGCCCTAGCCTACCTATATAATAAATTAATCTCAATCTCACCTACCTATGTTTCATTAACTTAACTCAAGACTCATGAAGAAAGAGAAAAAGGAGTAAAACAGAACATAAAATACTACCACACAAACAAACATGATGTATGTATGTAATTATGAGCAACCGCTAAAGAACCCACCTAAAGTTAAAAAAATACAAAATACAAACATACAAACCACAGGCAGACATATATAGCCAGCGCAACTCTATATAACTCTATATAATAAAATAAATAAAAAAATAAATAAAATAAACGAGATCAGGCAGACCGCTTCAAGCCTTAAGCGAGGCAGAATGCCTGATCTGATTTTCATGCTATCTCAGCTCCTATTTATACTCGTTTCAGCCATACATTCTCATCATTTCAATTATTCACATCTGTAAAAAACTTATTTAATGTATGTACTACACTATTATACAGTCTTAACCACAATGCTAACCGTACTAAATTGACGTCAACGATCGAACGCCTTTGAAACATTCTGGTTGGCTGGTTGAATCTGCTATATTGCTATTTATATAAACATATAGTTTTATTAATTATTTGTATACATGGATTCTAGTTACTTTATATATATATATATATATATATATCGGGGATAATATATATATATATATATATATATATATATATATATATATATATATATATATCGGGGATAATTGCAAATAGTTTGAGACCACACCTTGCTTAACATCCAATTTCAAGCCGAGCCAAGCCAAGCTGAGCCAATATGCGTAGATTTATAAGCGCTTTTATATTAAAATTTTGCTCGCTTTGTTTATATATATATATAGTATATAAATTCCAGTGATGACGAGTACTTAAGTACATTTGTACTTAAGTACGTACTTAAGTACAAATGCAGCACTTAGATACTTATACTTAAGTACATGTGGAAGCCTGCACTTAAATACTTATACTTAAGTACATTTTTCAGTACTTGTACTTATAAGTAATAAATTTTTCCTGTAAGTACCAGAAAAATTTTAAGCAAAAATAAGATAATGTCAACATACATGATACAGAAATGACTCCAGTTGAGATTGGTGATAAGTTTTTGGAAAGTAATATAGATGAAAGCTCCGGAATTTATCTTCCTTCTCATGTATCTTGCTTTTCACACACTCTAAACTTGCTTGCTACAACTGATGCAAGTAAAGCTTTGAATAATGATTCAAACTACAAAAGAATATATAGATCAGTATCCAGTAAGTGTGTCTCTCTCAGCACCGCATCACACCTGAGTTCAAAAGCTGCTGAAATTGTGCATGAAATCTTAGGCAGAACAATACCCAAACCGAATGGGACACGCTGGAATTCTGAATTTGACTGTTATAGCATTATATATAGTCTTCGCGATAAAGTAAATGTTGTGATGGAACGTTTGCAGCTGCCGAAGTTCAGCAATATAGATTTGAGTTTTCTTAATGAGTGGTTGGAACTGATGAGACCAATTTCACTAGCATTGGACAAGCTCCAAGGTGAGGTTTCAATGGAGTCTTATTTTGGTGCTGTCTTACCAACTATATTTGTTATACAGCGAAAACTGCAATCTTTTACTCCATCGTACACTTCAGCTCTTGTTTCTGCTCTTCAATGTGGCATGGATAAACGCTTTGGCGATATAATTGACTTTAAAGATATTTCAAGCAACAGCAAGATGAGAGCATTTGTTGTGGCTTCGATCAGCCATCCGTTTTTTAAAATCAGGTGGATAGAATCATCAGTTCGTGAGCAAGTTGAAGACTTGTTTCTAGCAGAAGTGGTCAGAATGAGCAATTCTTCAACAGTTTATGAAGACAGAAATACTAGAGGTTGTACTAGTGCAGATTTTTATGGATTCCACGAACCAAGTTCCGAATCACGATCGAATGAAAAAGTTGAAGGACTGCAATATCTTAGTGATCCTTCATATGATATGGAACAACTCAAAAGGTAATCAATATTTTTCTGTAATATATTATATATGTATAATATGTATATGCTTGATTTTCTAATACATTTTTATTCTCAAGTATTAATAACAAATTAATAATTTGCTATTTCGGTTAACAACTATATTATTGTTCCTTAGGTATCCTGCTGTCGCACAAGTGTTTTTGAAGTACAATACCACTGTGCCATCATCAGCACCTGTGGAACGTATATTTAGCCAGGCTGGAATGATTCTCACTCCTAAAAGAAATCGTTTAAGTGATGAATCATTTGAAACTTTACTTTTACTCAAAAAGAACAAACTCTTTTATTGATGTAAATAAATTACTGTAAATAATGAGTTGATTTCTGAGTTTAATAAATTTATAAATACTTCAAATTAACCATGGTATGTACTTAGGTACTTATGCACTTAGTACTTATACTTAGTACTTATAAGTATCAAGTACACAATTTGTTTTGGCACCTAGTACTTATACTTAAGTACTTTTATTACTGAATACTTAGTACTTATACTTAAGTACATTTTTTGAGTACTTACGTCATCACTGATAAATTCATTATAAAGCAACAGTAATCAGTGCTACATATGTTCGCACACTGTTCAAATTTTTCTTGGAGAATTACAAATAGTTTGAGACCACACCTAGCTTAACATCCAATTTCAAGCCGAGCCAAGCCAAGCTGACCCAATATGCGTAGATTTATAAGCACTTTTGTATTTAAATTTTGCTCGCTTTATATACGAATATTCCCAATATCGTTATCAGAGAAACAACGCGAGCGAGTTTTAAAATATTTTATTCAAAATTTAATTAAATTAAAACATATACACAAGTTTTATTCATTGAATTATATATATTATATAAGTTATGTAATTCCATGGTTTTATTTGCTAAGTAATTCCATTCATTCGTTATATAAACAAGCTACCCTTCAATTGAACTATCTCGTAACCTATTTCTTTTTATGCCTACCAGTTTTCTAGATTATGAAAAAGCTTGTTTCCTTGGTGTGGAAGTTGAAGGGATACATTACACTAAGTATTGAATAACGCTAGCATGACGTCATTTCCTCCAACGATTCTGTAACAAATTCTCCATCCTATTTAAAAAAATTTCTTTGATGCTTTTTAATCAGTCAGGCCAAAATCATCATCATCGATATCGCGATGAAATCAAATTGAATTTTTTTTTAAATTGTTGATAATGGTAACTAGTATATAGTAAAAAGCTTTAATTTTTCTGAGAGAATTCAAAATAATTGAGACTACACCATAACACAATTGTACAATTTGAATGTGCACATATAACATTATAAATGGATATTATTTGGCCATTAAATACGCATACATTCTCACACACGTACATATAAGCAAACAAACGTAAAAATTGGTTATTCAATTTAGCGGGCGGTTTTCTAAATAACGCACTTGAATCTGTATTGCGGTTATCCGCTTGGGGCTCTGTTACTCATTCAAATATGTTTAAACTAAATTTACATTTTTTCAAATTTTAAAGTTTTTACCTCGGTTTACTTTTAAATTGTTTGCCATGATTTACTTTTACACTTTTATTTAATTTTATTTTAATCTGCAATCCAATGTGTTGATGTATTTTCATTTGTAAATAAAATTCTACTACTTTATGTACGTATTTGTAAAACTAGAGCACTAGTTAAGTAATTTTGATGTCGGGTTAATTAATAATATATCTTGCCGATTTTGAAAGTAAAGTGATAAAGAGTTAAAAGTTAAGTTAAGGAGTCTTATTAAAAATAAATTATAAAACTCTTAACTTCTTTTCAAGTCTTTTTACAACACTTAATTAACTTAACATTAATTTTTAAAAAGTCTTAAAACTTAAGAAGACTCATTTCTAAACCTAAGGACTCAGGGAAAATCTAGCAAACGTTCATTAGCGAACGTTCAGTTTTAAGCCATAAAAGTATAGTTAATTAAATCAATGTTTTTGTTTTTTGGAAATAATGAATAATTAAAAATTTATTTTATTTTTAAGTCATGATATTTAGAAATAATTTTGAATTGGTTAGGATCAGCAGGGTGAGGAGTTAAGGAAACGTTTGTTGTAGGAACATTAGCTGACTTTAGTTTAGACAAGCACCCTAGATTTGCAGGGTGAGGAGTTAAGGAAACGTTTGTTGTAGGAACATTAGCTGACTTTAGTTTAGACAAGCACCCTAGATTTAATTTATTAAAATTTGTTTATTGGAATCATTAATCAACAATGGAATCAAAAAACTCTAAAAAATTCAAATGATAAAGTTACGAATTCGAGACATCAATCCCCACATCGTCTGTTCGCTGTGTGCTGGTTACTTCATTGAGGCTACAACAATCACAGAATGCTTGCACACCTGTCAGTTCATTTCCTTTCTTCCATTTTTTTATATTATATTATTTATTTAAATTTAATTTATTCAATTTGAATTTTATTTTGTAATAGTAATCAAGCAACTAATTATGTTAGTTTAGTTAGATTATTTAGGCTAGGCTAGACTTATACAAATAACTAACTCTAGCAACTAATTTTACTATTCATTTATTATTATTTAATTGAATCAAGAGTTAATTAACTTTTATTTTATTTTCATTCATTTTGCAATCATCTGCCATTAATAACACTAAAAAAATCATCACTTCAAATTCTGTCCATAATTAATATTTCATTTCAAAATTATTTTCTCTAATTTATGTACATACAGTCTGCAAAAGTTGTATAGTGAGATTCCTACAGACGAGTAAATGTTGTCCCCAGTGTGGCCTAAAAGTACATGAAACTCAGCCACTCTTGAATTTGAAACCGGATAGAGTGCTTCAGGACATTATATTCAAGCTGGTACCTGGCCTCTATGAAAGTAGATTCAAATAATTAATTATTACCTTTTGTTATAATTGACTTCATATTTTTATTAGATATATATATATTTTTTATTTTTTAATTTATTCTTTTTATATATCATTTATTGTTTATTTAATTTAATTTTCCTTATCAGATGAATCTAAAAGGATGGATGAGTATTATGGAGATCATGCAGTTAATGATGGAGGAGTGGGTTCATCAATGATCACCACTAACAACTATAATAACTGTATGCTTGTATGTATGTATGTATGTATGTGTATGTATATGTGTGTGTGTATGTATGTGTGTGTATGTGCGTGTGTGTCTGTCTGTCTGTGTGCGTGTGTGTGGGTGTGTTGAAAATGAATGAGAACTGAACTATAGCAACCTTAAATGCCTACATTATTACTAATTACCCTTCATTCAACACAAAGGTTTCAGCAATGTGAATAACATGGATCCATTGAATCCGAAGGCTCACTACTATTATAATGATAAGATTATATGTTTTTCACTAAATTTTTGCAGGTTTGTGTGTATGTGTATGTGTGTGTGCTTGTGTACGTGTAGATTTGTGCGTAAATGCTTGTTTGTTTGGTTATATCATTGCATGTTTTGACTGTTTTGTGTTTTTTGTGCTTATGTCTGTTTGCATACATGATTGTATGTGTATGTAGGTATGTGTGTGTGTGTGTGTGTAGGTGTGTGTGTGTGTGTGTGTGTGTAGGTGTGTGTGTTTATGTAGTTTGACGTCATTCATTCAATCATCCTTATAAACATAGAGCTTTATTTTCTTTCTTCCATATAAGGAATTTAGAAGACTTGAACTGGAGTCTTGATGTAGAGCAGAGGTTAAATAAAACGGTCTGTTGTAGATTTTTTTTCCTCATTTTATTATTGAATTATAAAAATAAATAAACATAAATAATAATAATTATTAATAATTATTACTATTTTTCCCGTCCGAAAGCAGCTAAAGAGTAAATTCCTCAGATGTTCAGAGAGAGCATGTGTCATTCACGTAAAGAGACTCATCTTGAAAGTTTTGCACCCCAACAACAGTAGTGAGGATGGCAACGAAAATATGATATCTATCATGATAATGATGAATAATAATAATAATAATAATAATAAGGATGAAGATGATGATGATGGTGATCGCTTTTATAACCCGGACGATGATTGGACGACGTTGAAACAGCTGATGTACATGAGAGGTCCACCATTTGATGTGCGTTATTATTATTGTTATTATTATTATTGTTATTATATTATTATTTGATGATTATACTATAATTAATAATAATGTGATAAGATAATAGTAATAATAGAAATAATAATAAAATAATAATGATAATTAATTATATTTTCAGTCACTGCCAATTCCATTGTACTTCAAGATCGATGGCAAGTTAAATAATGTAAAGAGCTGATAGGGTTCTGCTTTGCTTCGTTTGTTTTTCGTGCATATGGGTTTAACAAGATGTAATAATATAAGATATAATTATATAATATAGGTTTAACAAGATGTAATAATATAAGATATAATTATATAATATAGGTTTAACAAGATGTAATAATATAAGATATAATTATATAATATGGGTTTATAAGATATAATTATATATATTCATGGTTGTACATATTTAGTTTGAATTTAAATATTTTCAAATTTTTTTGAATAAAACGAAACTTCAGAATGAAGCAAAAAACGGTTTTATACTATGCTATTCTTGTCACGATTCCATTTTTACATACCCTATTTAAAGTATTTTGCTGACAACCGAAGAAAAACGTAAAAATTTCTTAAAAATAATAATAATTATTCACAATTAATTACATTAAAAATATAATCGTAATAATTTCTTTCAATCATTCTAATTGAGTGATTAGATTTGACTAATTGGTTGAAGTTACAATTAATTGATCAGTTAATTAATGTGGCAGTCAATTTAACGACCGACATTTTTGACGTAACATTAAACAACAATTATAAGAATAATTATGAAACTAATAATAATCATTAATAATAATTATAATTACACAGACGCTTAGCTGATTACTTAAGCTTCTTCATTCTTCTTAGTTGCACGTATGCCAGGATAAGAAATGCAATAATCATGATGGTTAGAGCCATAATGTTCTGCCAAAAATCCCAATCCGTTTCGTATTTGATTCCTTGGTTTTGCAAAAACTCCTCCCCGATTCCACGGATACTGTTATATTATATATATATATATATATATATATATATATATATATATATATATATATCAATCAATAGGAAACTTATATAGCGCCAATTAAATGTTCTCAAAGGCGCTATCGTAATTATATAAACATTGAAATCTACAATACTATTAAAAAGAAAAAAAACGATTGAAAAAGAAAAAAAAACAACATATATAATATATATAATAACAGTGTGTGTTTGTGTGTGTGTTTTGACTGCAATTCTCATAAAGTTTAAGTTAGAGTTAACATTACTAACGTAATTTCTGTCCCATTGATGGTCTTCTTGAGAACGAGTCCTTTCAATTCGTTTATCGATAGAGCCTTGATTTATGGGTTTAATTTGTTGAGTTAATTTATCTATTCAAATTTATTTATTCATTCATTCGTTCGTTCATTCAATCATTCGTTTGTTCTTTTGTTCATTCATTTATTCAATCTTTTTATTGGTCATAAAGCGACTTTTTCTCCGTCTGTCTCTCTCATTTTCTTTCTTTCTTTCGTTTTCTCTCTTTTTGTCTCTGTTTCGTTCATTCATTCATTTGTTCATTCATTCATTTGTTCATTCTTTCATTCACTGAAAGACGGAAACCAGCATAACTAACGTTCATAGAAAACCTGACAATGCTAAGGTACTGCAGCCAACTCAGCCAGTCCGCCATCGTCTCAAGATTCACCAACAGCCCACCAAACAACTGAACCATTTTATTATTATTATTTAATTATTTATGTTTGTAATTATTATGAATTGTAATAATAATAATATATCTTTATTTAATCATTCGTTCATTTATTCGTTTATCCATGAGTTCATTTAAAAATTCATTTAATCATCCGTTTACCAGTTCATCAGTCGTCAATTCATTTGTTTACCCATTTGTTCATAACTCATTTGTTCATTAATTCATTCTCTCAGTCACTCGTTCATTCATTCGTTCGTTCACTAATTCATTCGCAATCTAACCATCATGAGAACGTAAATGAGAACGATAATTAAGTTAGCAACGGTGAGGACGGACACGGATGAACTTATCATGATGCCCACACTGGCCCCGGCCATCGAGGTCAAGAATAAGGTCAAGTAGAAGATGAAGAACTTATCAGCTGATGGTTGAAGACCTGTTTGTTTGTTTGTGTGTGCGTGCGTTTGTGTGTGTGTACGTGAAGTTTTCGATCTATTTATACTGACCAATCATGAAATAGCATATGGGGGAAAATATGGTAACGGGCAAGACACGCATGGGAATGATGTCACAGAGAACTTTCGAGAAGAAATATGACGAAACTCTGTAGTAACCTGAAGCACTTTCGTGTCTGTGTGTATTTGTATGTGTATATGTTTGTATGTGCGTGTGTATATGTTTGTATGTGTAAGTATATGTTTGTATGTAGGTTAAAACCAAAATAATAGACCGTATGTGCGTATGTGTTTGTAAGCATATAAATATATGTGCGTGTGTATGCATATAAATGTATATGTGTGTATGCATATAAATGTATATGTGTGTATGTTTGTATGTGTGTGTGTGCGTGCGTGCGTGTTCGAGTCTACCACACAAATACCGACATGAAGATATGTCTCTCTCTGATGAAGAGCTCGACGACGGACATGTTGCTGAATACCTGGTTCATTACTATGAACAGAAATGCTCCCATCCTGTTGTTTCAAGAGATTAACTTTTGTAATTATTTTAATCTAATTAAACCAGGAAATTGTGATTCTAATTGATTAATTAATTAATTAATTAGTTGTAGTATGAATGAAAGATGTTAAATTACATTTATGAATATATGGAGAACTGCCACTGGACACAATACAAGTGCAATACAATAAAATACAATATAGCATAATACAACACATTACAATACAATACACTACATCACAACACAATATACTACAATACAACACAATACAACACAAACAATACACTAGACTACACGACAACAAAAAACAACACAAACAATACAATACAAGTATTTTTACCTATTTTGAATAGCAGAGTCAAACTTATCACCAAGTTGTAGGTAGATAACACCAACTATGACAGCAAAAAATATGCTGATCATAATCTGTAAGGCGAACGTTTGGGGGTTCCTTATGAGGTTTTTGAGCGTTCTAGCGCAGACGTACATTGTCTGTATGTTAACAATTAATAATAAAAATAATTATTCTTTGTTTATCATTAAATAATTAATGATAATAATAATAATATTATTATTATCATTATTTTGTTATGTTATCATCAGCCATCATTTTCTGTCTTCATCATCATTTTCTGTCTTCATCCTCATTTTCATCATCATCTTCTCACCATTAATATTTTTATTATTTTTATTCCTTTTTTATCGTATAATAATAATAATGATAATTTTTTTTATAATTATAATTATTATAATTATTATATAATCATATTGTTATACCAAACCTGGACCAAAGGTGACGTAGGGTAAACCAGTTTAAGTTGTTTCTGTTGGCTGTTTGGATCGAGTCCAGGGTCTTTGAAGCGCTGCAAACCCTGGTCCCTCTCTATATTGTCTAGTTCTTCAGCTATTCTGTGTGCGTGCGTGTATATATTTACGTACGTACGTGTGTGTGTGTGTGTGTGTTTTATGTAAAAGAAGGTGGGAGTACGTGTGCGATGTGTGTGTGTGAGTATGTGTGAGTTTGTGTAAAAGTATGTGTGTGTGTTCATGTGTATGTGAGTGATAGTTTAATATGACGTCACGGTGACATCATTTGTAGTTTATAGCATTGCATACTTTTGTTTGATTTGCGATCGGGAATATAAATCGGAGAGGGATGCATTCACGTCCCCAATGGTTTCCTCGTCCAACTCATTCGAATCTATTCCGTCATCTATTCCGTGGTGATGATGATGAGACGATGATGGTGGTATGGAAATGATGATGACGATGATATAAAATGATGATGAAACTCATTCGAATGTGTTCCTTCATCTGTGGTGATGCTGATGAGAGGATGACGATGATGATATGAAAATGGTGATGATATGAAAATGATGATGATGAAGATGAAGATGTCGTAATGATAACGGTAACATGAGGGGGAAGATGACGGTGACGACGATGACGATGATGGTTACGTAAGAATTGAGACGATGACGTCATACCAATGATTTTCATAATTAGGATGATAATGATAATAATAATAACGATGATGATGACTATGATGATGACGCTGATAATGATGATGCCTTACCGATTACGACCACATGACTATTTTTGTTATTATTTTGTTGTTTTTGTTTTTCAGCTTTCAACAGCAAGGAGGTTCCTTCCGTTATGACGTCCATGAAGAAATCCGGAGGGTTGTTGTGGTCCTCGCATCTGAACCCTGCTCATTTGCATAATTTATGTTAATTTAAGTCATTATTATGCTCAAATTGACATAAATTATGTAAACTTACATAGAAACTTATACGCATAAGTGTCTGTATACAATATTATATATAAAACATGCGATAAAGCAAACACAGAACTTTTCATTTGCCTATATAAAGAATTAACTACGATCCACATCAGTGCGTATCTCATTAACATAATTTATTTTTGTTTATAATCTATTGAGAGCCACACTGTAGTTCACTAATTTATTCAAAACCCCGCCC